CAGTGGCGTATTTTGGGTAATTTATCGGGGGGGTGTCCAACGTTTATTGAACCTCAGTACCTCACAAACAACATTTTTAGAATTATTATATTAAAAACACATTGAAGTTACTTTTTAACATATTACTATGAATTGAAAGTCTTATAATTAAGACTCATGTAAATGGTATAATAGACAAGTTGTAGGTTATTACTTAATACTGCAGATTACTAATATTTATTAAAAAAATTACCTGTAAATATTTACAGTTTTTAAACTAAATTAAATCTATAGACCTATAGTAAAAAATCTAAGCGCCTCTTCTTTAAACTAAGTTGGTCGATCACTTCATCGACATCAATTCCAACTTCTTTGTGGATAGCTAGCATAGCTAAACCATTTAACCGCCCCTATATTAAAAAAAAAAAACTTAAAAACTCATAATTATAAAAGATTAAATTAACCAATGTCGATTTACTTGTGACATTGTGTTTCGCAAGTATGTCTTTATTCTTTTCAAGTTTGAAAACGACCTCTCGCTAGATGCAGTTGATACTGGTAAAGTTGCAAAAATCTGTAGCAGTTTAAATACACTTGGATAAACTTGTCTATTGCATAAAACTATTGCTTCCATGGCATTTTTTGGTATATTTGATGATCCAATATTTTCTAAACGTCTTTGCCATAATTTGAACTCAGCCAATAACACAGATTCTTCACATTCATTTAAGTCAACCATGTACTTTTGTGCCAGGCGTATAAAGTGAGCTTCATTTTCGTCTGTTGAAATTAATGACTTGAAGTCCAATAATAACATTTTTTGATTCACAAACCTTGAATTTAGTTGATCTATAAATGTATCTAAGTAAGGAATAAAAAAAGTAACTCGAAAATATGATTCTGGCGAATTTGTCTCAATATTTACTCTTTTCGTTTGTCTTCCTGTAATACGTGGTATGGAAATATTTATATCTAGTTTATTTGCTAAAGTCAATGCATTTTCGAAAATTTTATGAAATTCAGACTCAGCATTTGATCTTATAGATTTAAGTTCTTTTATTGTATCTTCCGCAAGATCCATAGCTTCGCCTAGATCAATATTTATTCTTTGAAGTTGTTTTGAAAGAGGTAGTCCATAACTAAATACTTTATTCACAATAAGTAAGCAAATTATAAAATCTCCTTTCAGTATTGATGTTCGTAAGTTGCTTGCTTGTGATGATGTGTCAGTGTCATTCCACTTTGAAATTATAAATAACGATTCAATTACGTACTCGAAAAGCTCAAGAAAATCATTCACAGCATAAAAACGTTCAACCCATCTAGTCGCACATAATCTTTTTAATGTTTTTTTTGTAATACATTCTTGACTTTCTTCGATTTCATTTTTTAACACATCTTTCCGCTTAGGGTATATGAAAAAATCTCGAACTTTAGATATTGTTCCTAAACAGTTTCGTATTTCTTGTATAGAACATGAATAAGAAACAGCAAGGTTTAATACATGAGCAGCACAATGAACATACGTCGCAAGTGGGTAACTTTGGCGAATGATGGCTTGAACTCCGTTAAATTGACCAGACATAGATGCACATCCATCGTAACACTGCCCTCTTAGGTATTTTGTTTCTATACCAAAAGAATGTAAATTTTGTATAATAATATCGGCTAAACCTTTTCCAGTAGTATCTGTCGTATGCACAAACTGAAGAAATTCTTCCTTAATAATCATATTTTCAACATCTAAATAGCGTGCACATAAAGATACTTGTTCGATTCCACTAATGTCGGCGGTTTCATCTGCAAGTATTGTAAAACATCTTTGGGAATTTATGTTTGTTACAATTTTATTTAAAATAATTTTATTGCAGGATTCAATGATTTCATTTTGAAGTGTTGCACTTGTATATTTTATTGTACCTTCAGCTTCCAAAAATGATTTCAAATGGTCATCTCCTTGCGCTCTATATCTTAATATTTCTCTAAAATTTCCCTGGTTTTGGATTAACTTGTCATTTTCTTGTTCAACAATAAGTTTCCCGGAATCTCGATGTCATCTGAGCGGAATATTTTGTTTACCGCATAAAATTACTGTTTGAATTATTGGAGATATGTTTTTTCGATTCTTTCTAATTTGTTCAGCTCTTCCAGTTTCTATTTTGCACGTTATAGACTTCCCAGGATGTTTCATAACATCAATATAATGATCTGAACTTAACACACACGTTATATGATAACCCTTGTTAGAATGTTCTTTGAAATCAACTATTGCATTTCTCCAATTATCATATTTTTTTTTTACTAATGCACCTAAGTTTTGTCCGTTATTTACATTGGATTTAGAAAAAGCTACACAGATTCGACAAAATGCACCATTTTCTTTTATCGAGTATACCAACCAAGGGAATCTTAATAGCCATGAATACTGGAACTTTAAATATTTTGGTTTATTTTGAACTATATATAGTTTTGGTGGGAATTTGTAAGATATATCTGGCATTCTAATTCTTGTCATGACAATCAAGATATCTTCATTCGATAACATACGGTTAGTATAAAACCCAATATCATAATTATTACTATAGTTTGTGTCTTCACTAACTTTAGAAACATTAATTGAATCATTTGTATCTAAGCTTAAAGTACGACAAATTTTGACAGAGTCAATCGAGTTTATTGGCGAGGATGCTCGTTTATTCGTAGAAGTATCGTTGTTATGTGTTGAATTCAATTCTGAGGTAGAAGGCGGCGAAGGTTTTAACTTAAAAAAGGAAGAAATTGATTTTTGTTTTTTTTGTGCCATTTTTATTAATTTTACAACACTGAAAAATGAATAGTTTTTAAGTTCAAATATAAGTCATCAAAATCAAAATCGAAACATATTACATTTTCACTTTTTTTTGTGATATGTAACAACTAGATATAACTGGTTTATTTTGTATTTTGAAGTATTATTTTAGAATAATAATAAAAATAAAATATTATTTTAAAAATTTTAAATAATATTAATATTGTATAATAGTTGATGACACATTGATTCGTTATTTCTATGATTCTTATTCACATTGAAGACCAACTATTTTTATTTTGTTATTGCGTTTAAGACAAGCACCGTATTTAACGCGACTATTGTTACGTTAATATGTTGTTGCGATAAGACGAGCGCCTTTTCTATCGTGGTACCACTTGCTTGCACGTGGCACGTCTAAAAGGGACTTAGCGTTTAGTTCGATTTATGGATTTTTTCGAACTATCGAGGTTTGAATTATCGAGTGACTACTGTAATATCAATATTTTATTTATATTGAATTCGGAGTTGATACATAAATTATATTGAATCGATATTGAATATCGTTATTTTTCCGATTATTTTATTTAATTGTCCTATAATGGCGTTCGTCCCCAATGTGTTAATAATTATTTAATTTATTTGAATAAATAAGTACTTACGTTATTCAGTAATCACCTGGTACAGTGGTCAGTGGTGGACGGTGGTACGTACAGCACGACGGTTGACGAAAAAATGAATGAATGTCAAATTGACACATAATAACCATTATTGATTATAAACATTATAGGCTATATTATATATACATACTAGCAGACCCGGCAAACTCCGTTTCGCCACCAGATTCGTTTTATGTAACATTTCGTTTGGTGATTAAAAGATAAAGAAAAAAAATTTTTTTTGTTATATATTTGAAAAGGAAAATATTTATTTCATTTCACAACAGTAATAAATTCATTTCAATTACCTACTAAAATGAAGTGTTATTGTTGCTACTGGTTACCAATACCGTTGCTATTGGTTTGAAGTACATGCTATGTATAATAGATGGCGCTGTATGTGAAAAACGATTTCCCCACTTTTCTGTTGAATTTTTCCTGAATTTTCCAGAATTTTCTTTGCTATAAACCTCACGGAGCCCAAGACCTTTCCAACGAATGCAAAACCGTGGAAATCGGTTCGTGCGTTCTGGAGTTATAGCGTCAGGGAGGAAAACCGGACTTATTTTTATATAATAGAGAATAGTACTAGCCAAATATATACTAGAGTCTAAAAGGTATTGATAATCAACGGTAATACCGTTGTCCGTTACGGTATTATTAATAATGAAATTCTCCAAACTGATACACTGTAAACTAGATTAAAATAATATACTACATGCGGTCACAATATTTTCGTTGTTATTGTATTTTCGCTGCGGCCTGCGGGTATTTTTATTATCGTAATTCGTAATGACCCGGTGAAATTCTAGATAAGTCTCTGTGCCCTGTGGCATCGAATCTAATCAAATTAATTTCAGATTTGCCGTTTATATAAAATTGTATTTATTTTATAACAAAATAAAAAAAAGTATACTATAAAATAAATGATAACAAAAATGTCTCATATATTAGGACTTTTTTTTAAAAAAGTCGGGGGGGTGTCCAGACATGGAGGACACCCCCCCAAAATACGCCACTGGGGAAATATATGATCTGATAATATGATATAATATGATATGATAAA